CCTGCGTGGTGCACGCAAGTCATTGCTACCAACAATGGCCTCAGACTCGGCAGCGCTTGTTGTTGCTGAAGCAAGAACCTCAGCTTGAGGCTTACATTATTATTACTATCTGTCAATTGTCATTAATGACATTGTACATGATCATCACCGTGTGCGCTCGATCTAATCATTGATTGTCTTTATTTTATGTTTTGCCCGTACAAGAGGCATTAGCACTGCAAAAAAGTATAAAACTAAGTATTTGATAGAAAAGGAAAAGGAACATCAGTGAGAAGGCATTATACTGCCTGTAATGCTGGTGAAGCAAAATAAAGTAACAACAACAACAAGGAACTACAAGATACCGTTTTGTGTCCACTAACACTTTCTTCACTAACACTTTCTTTCTTTACGGAGTTGTTGTTGCTGTTCGTTTTGCTACTCTTTCTTTCTTTTTCCCTCCCCTCATGTCTATTAATTTTATTGCCGTGGTTGGCAATCACCCACTCTCGTAACATTGGCCGGTGTTTCCGCCGAGTCTTGAGATGTAATAAATAAAATAAAAAAACACCACCTGTTACCAAGCAATCAGATCATGCCATATCGTTGCACGAGGCTGGCCAATGGTACTGACGTTCTACTACGAATTGGCTAACAGCATTAGCACATCTTGGAGGCGCACACTAACACATGCGTCACATTGTGATATGTATCTTATAAGATCAGAACAACACTAAAACAGGATGGAGACTACTTCTGGCAAAGGCAGGCAGAAGCTTCTGATGCCTTACGACCAGACCCACGATCCTATTACGATGCAATTCGGAATCGGCGACAAATTAATATGGTGATGAATACACTCCAGGAATTATGGCTGTCATTACGCGCCTGCCCACACACGCTCTCTACGCTGCAAAGTTACTCTGGCACAGCTCACCTTCTCCACCAATATCACTTCACGCCTGGCGCCTATTCGATGAATGGTTAATGGTACTCAATATAGTAGAAAGTAGATCACATAGCAACGACATACTAGTAGCTCGATTGTAAGGCACGTTTCGTCCCCGCTGGACTCATGAGGCAATCTTCGTCTTGAAAGTCTTCGCATGAAGCCTGACGTGGGAGAATGATATTCCACTGCAGCTGTACTTATGTTGATTATTATCATGGAGATGGGCCTATGGGCCTATGAAAGAACGAGAGATTCTAGCACTACATCGGTGTGACCGACCTGAACATGGCGCAGCTGACCCAGCAGCTGCCTGGTGTAAAGGTGAATCACATAGCGCAATGAGGTCAGTAAGAACCCGCTACGCAGGCCCACAGTGTGACAGCTTAGCAATGCGGCTGGTCCACCATGGGCAAGCTATTCAGGCCTCTTTTATGGGCAAATTAACACGATGGATTAAAATGCAATATATCATACGCTGGAGAAGAAATCAGAAAATGCGTGTGGAAAATAAAGATTTTCAAACCCAACCCCAAAAAACCTGGGCCAGGTGTCGCTTGCCATCGGGCAATCAACCACGACTATTATGAACCCACAAGTTCTAAAGTGTGAAAGGCCTTCTCGCTTGTGACATTGTGTTCGTTTCAATGCAGTTGTATCTCGACCCCGCCGTGCCGATGATGTTTACGACGTGGTATACGCTACATGCGCTAGGTGCGATTTGCTGTGTGCGCTGTGTGTGTGTGTTGTATGCGTTTGCTTTTCTGATATTTGCTGTCATTTTTACTCTATAACTACCTGGTGGTTTTAGTGTTAGTTATTAGTTGATAGTGAAGATTTATAAGTTGATCGAAGTGAAAAATACTGTTGAAGAGTAGATAGTTGTCCTCGTGCCGTGTAGTCGTTCGTTCCTGACAATTTAGAGAATTAGAAGGGTTCACAACATTTGACGACTACGCCAGGTCCAAAACGAGCATGGCAGAGGAACAAACTAATTTGGAAGTCAGCTTTATCGCCAAAGGAAATCGGTACGGATTTGAAGGCGATAGGTTGATGGAACACGTGGAGAAGCGGCTCCAACAGTGCTAGGAGCGTAAAGACCAAGTCTATTCCAGTTTGTCCGGAAGCTTCGATCTCCCCAAGGCAACAGCAGAACGACTGTAACTCAGCTCTCTGTCGCTGGTACTCTATATTCTGACCATGTGGATGGGGCAGATGCTTTGAACGAACAGTTTATTGGTTTTGGAACACGAGATGATCCTTCATGGAATGTGCCAGACTTCAAGCCACCAGACGCCCCATCACGTGGAAGAACTACACCTACGTTGCAAGATGTCACCACCATGCCTTTTGCTGTGGCAAAGCAAATCCCCAACCTTAAGACCCGAAAGGCTGCGGGAGCGGACGGTATTTCTCATGCACTCCTGAAACTGTTTTGTTCCAGTATTTCATACCCTCTCAGCCTCATCTTTAACCTCACTTTTGCAACTGGTGCTTTCCCTGCTATTTGGAAACACGCAATTGTAACTCCGGTCTTTAAGAACAAGGGAAGTAAGCTCGATGCATCGAATTACCGCCCGATCTCGTTATTGTCAACAATCTCCAAGCTGTGTGAACGTATTATGTACAACCACTTATACACTTACCTGTCTCCTGTTCTACATCCGTCCCAGTCTGGATTCCGAAAAGGCGACTCTACGTCCTGGCAGCTTCTCAGACTTGTTCAATCGATGTCTTCTGTTCGTGAGAACGGCCATTACAGCATGCTATGTTTCTTTGATCTAAGCAAGGCCTTCGACACAGTATGGACACGCGGGCTCCTATACAAGCTGTCGCGCCATGGAATCCATGGTACTTGCTTCACGTTGCTCAGTACTTACCTGACGGGCAGACAGCAAAGGGTGCGTGTCAGCTCTGCTCTGTCTGCCAAAGGGCATGTACGGTCTTGAGTTCCTCAGGGATCAATCCTGGGGTCTCTCCTCTTTCTTATGTATGTAAACGATCTGGCAGAAATGGATCACACATCACTATATGCTGATGATACAGCACTACTTGTGACAGCACCCACTCTCCCCGAGGCTAGTGCCAAGTTACAGTCCAACATAGATCGCGTTATTCATTGGATGGAAAAATGGAAATTGCAGCCCAACTCTTCGAAAACTGCTGTAATGTGTATCCCCCCCAGTTGTTCCTGTGACCTATCTTCATTAGTAACCAGTCCCTTCACCTTTCCAGGCACCATAACCCCGCTCTGCATCGTTGAAAAACACAAGCATCTTGGCGTCATTATTGACCAACACTTAACCTGGAAATCCCAGATCGAACATTTAGACAGCCGTGTTAGCTCAGTAATGGGATTTCTCTCTTCACACATCACCCACCTCCACACCGACTGTCGCCATGTTATCTACACATCTAACATTCTGCCTATTTTTGATTACTGCTGCATAATTTGGGCTGGCATTTCTAAAACACTGATTGCTCGACTCGAAGTTATGCATAGGCGTCTTTTAAAAATATTATTTCGGCTTCCTCGCCTGACTCCAAGCGCAGAATTATACCGCCTTGCTTCTGCTGTGCTGCTCTCGGTCCGCGTGCGTTTTTTGGCATGCCAAACAATTCATAAAATTAAGCTGGGCATTGCTCCTCTTCATGCTCTCTCCTGCCTAAGCTGGTTTGCTCAATCTCAAGACATGCGCACCAGAAACTCTCTCCGCTTCCCTATTGCGCGGTCTGCCTCTATGATAACATCTCCTCTCTCCCTTGCTTACCGCCATTGGTCTCTCCTCCCACAACATCTAAAATCCTGCCAATGTTACAATTCATTCACACAGCTACTGCAGAATGCAACATACTAGTTGATATCCAGCCCTGCCCTAGCTTCTCTTGCTTTTCAGTTCCCCTTTCATTCTTTTTCTTTTTCCCCTCTAGCTCTATTACCGCCATGGCTGGCTATCGCCCACATCACCATTTCATTGGCTAGTGCCACGTGATTGTGAATAAATAAATAAATAAATAAGAGCGCAGTGACAGATGGCAGACTCTCTATTCTAAGTCCGTTGGGCAGTGCTGACGAAATTGGACAATGGGAGAAAAAGTTAGAACCCCGGTATAGGGCGGACACAGGGAGAAGCGTGTGGTAACTTCTAGAAAATAAACGTGCGGATGTCTTTGCGCTAACGGTTGCAATTTGTTCTTTCTTTTTTTTATCATTTCATTCTATTTCCTTCTCACGAAAGAATCTATAATATTATGTTTTCGCGCTAAAAGTCACCCTGGGCCACATATTTTTGTCCAGTACAAATGGGGGAGCACTATTCAAGAGAGAGAGAGAGAGAGCTGTTCGAAAGAGGGTATTAAGGGAATCTTCAAAGGGCAGAAGCCTAAGAAAACACCGAGCCGAATGCTTACTGTAAACTACTACGATTTACCGATACGACCACGAGAGCTGAGATTTTGATCCTGAAACTACGGGGGGAGGGGTTGAGGGGAGGGAGGGGATTATACTAATCAAGAGAGAGAGAGGGAGCTTGGTGTTTTCACTGTCTCTTAGAGATTGGGGCATAACTTGAGAAAGAGTGAACTATCCAAGAGATGGCTCTATTTGCGCGAGTACAGTATATGGAGATGTCTGTTGTATTCACCACTATAAACAACACGCGATCAAAATCCCGTTTCAGGGAGGTAAAAGAGTGTAAGGCAGTAGTTCTTAAAGTGAGAACGTTGAGTGCGGAAAAGTTCTTCTTCTGAATGCATAACCTGGGTTACGCAAATTAGGGACTCCACCATTGAGTGTACAAGCACAAGTAGCATACACAAAAACACAATACTTGTATACATCACAGTACATTGGGTTTCTCACAAATTAATTAAATGCTTCCCGGGATCCACAATAATATCGGGATCTGTACAATGTTCGCAATCAACCGAACCCTCCCTCTCCACCCCTGCGCTCACCACCATCATCATCCGAACTTGTTCCATCCTTCATTTCGCTCCTTTTTTCTGTTTACACTGCTCCCATATACATTATACTTGTGCTTGCTTCTGTATAATTTGTAATTCTGTGTAGTGAAATGGGATGCCTGTCCTCTAACCAGTGCTCGCACGTGGCAAGTCGATTGGACCTTTCGACTTGGACGTCAAACTTGGACAGAAGCAAAAGCAGAATGTCAATCATATGGCGGATCACTAGCGACTGTGCACACAATGGCTCAGGTGACGTGTGCAAACCGGACAGTGGAGGGAACTACCGCTGTGTGGGTAGGCTTGACTGGTATATGGACAGCAGGAAATTGGAGTGCTTGGAAATGGGAAGTGGCATCGTCCACCCGTACGACGAGACTTCCCTGGTCACCCCAGTATACACTTCCGGTTAAAAATTCTAATTATACTTACGGGTATTTGGATCCAAACAAGGGCTTAGTGAACTGGATAAACAACTTTCAATTAAGGTGCCTCTGTCAACGATATGTGCCTAAAGGTAGGTATATATCCATTGATTAAACTGAAGGAATACCTCTACTGATCTAGATCAGTACGGGCCACTCCTCTGATTAAATTAGACATTCCATTTACTCTTTAAACCACAATTCCCAAAAACGAAGACCGCGGATATACCTGAATAGATTTGAAAGAGAAATAGGGCACGGGATAGTGTTCTTCGGTGTTGGCGAATGGCAGGTTTCCGAATGTAACGAGGTGGCAATTTAATACACCATTTCACTCGCACCTGAAAGCAAAGCTTCACAGTCCTTGCATCTAAACTAATGATGCTTGTAAGATCAGAGCGCTCTATATATGTTCATGAATGCAAACCCTTTGTAGACAAGACTGCTCGACACTTGACTCATGCTTATATGCATGTACAAACAAGGCCAATCTAGGCTGCTCCAGGTGGAGAACTCAACGCACGACAGAGGCGAAAGGCTGTGCAGATGTAACTTTACATTTCACGTATTTCAGCAATCATCAGATAGCAGCATTTACAATCAAATCCTCGACGAGCAGGTCTAGCTATTTTGTGCTAGTGTGGAATAAAGTCTGTATGTGTGAAGTGTAGATGTGTCTATGGCAAAGTGCAGTTGAATTATTTATGACAGTTAACGAATATAGATGAGAATAGAGGGGATAACAGGGCAGTGCCACTGAGTAATCGAGGGCGATTGCGACAGTAACGCAAAGACATGCTGTATCAGGCGTGAAGAGGGAGAAAGAAAGCACCGTGACGCCAAACCTGGTACAGGTGGCGCCATGTTGAAAAGCCAATCATGTAACTGATGGTGAATATTTTAGACAAGTCAAACTTGTTTTCGTGTCTACAATTCGAGACCAGCTCCGATCTTGTGTTGATATTGACCATTTTGTCTGCATCCAGGGTCGCCGACTTGTTGGCCGGGTATAGAGCACGATGGGTTTCTAGTGTCCTCCAGGCGCAGTCGTGAGTCGGTTAAGTGTCTAGTCAGTCCGCAGGAAGCAGGAGTTCCTACGTTCAGAGCAGACAATGTCTTCACTGTTGCAGCGTCTTTCGTGCCATAATATCCATGTTCAACGGAAGAGACAAACACAGGACAAGAACGTCCCTGACAAACGATGTAGCTGCCGACAAAAAGCACCTGCTAACTGGACGGGGACCTCCAAGTACGATGCATCGTGCACAAGACAGCAGTACAGTACACAGGAAGAGAGCAGCGACACAGGTACCTCGGCTTTGCGGAAAACCCTTTAAGTAGAGATACAACAACCACGCGACCGAGACAAGGCATGAGAGAATGGAATAAAGCACGAAACTATCCAGGAGCATATGAAAGGTCGAGCAAACGAACACTCCACGGTCTGTCAAATGGGCCGTCGTCCCCCATCATCACGGTCCGGGGCTACTTGAACGCTGTCCACTATGCTGAGAAGTTGGAGACACTAGAAGCAGACACGGTGAACATCGACAAAAAGTCGAAGTTGGTATCGAAATACAGACACGAGCACAAGTGTTACCTGTCCAGATTCTATGACTCAGTTACACGAGTTGTGTGTCAACATGGTGCCACCTGTACCCGGTTTGGCGCCGTTGTGCTTTCCTTCTCTCTCTCTCGCTCTCACTCTTTCTCTCTCTCACTCTCGCTCTCTCTCTCTCTCTCTCTCTTCACCCCTTCTATGTTCTTCCACTACTGCCGTTCTTACCCTCGATGACATGGTAGCTCTGCCGTGCTCTCGTCTTTATTCTAATCTACATCCGTTGCCTCTCACCAACAACTCAATAGCACTGTCCCATTGCCACATCTACACACACACTAACTTTCAAACTAGCACCAAGTATCCACGCCTGCTCGAATAGCATCCCATAGTAAATGCCGCTGTCTGATGATTGTTGAAATGCGTGAAACGAAAAGTTACAGATACACGGCCTTTCACCTCTTTTGTGTGTATATGTATGTGTAATGGTAGCCGAGTGGTAGGCGCGGTGCATTTAACACGAGTTATCTTTTATTATTATTCTCTTAGGTACACACCTAGGATATATTAGAAGTTAAAGAAGAAGCGGCAAATAAATGACTTTCCCTCCGGTGCACACCTAGAGGTTGACTACTTCTTCTTCGAGTTAGCTTTGTTGTTGCTATCTAATCTCATCTCATTAAAACAGAAATGCGCAGCCGCTTTAATGCAGCAGACGCCGTACGCTTACATACGGAGATACACTAAATATACATCAGGCAAAGCTCCGTATTAGTTCCGTACTACTTCCGTATTGGTCGGGCACGGATACTACATATGTATACATTTTCCAAAAGTTCTGTCAGGAAAATGGTTATGAAATGATTACATGGTTATGTGGATGCGTCAGGCCCAGAATGGTTCGTTGTGGTGACTATTACCGTCATCAGAGAGGTTTCGCGAGGCTGTTCGCGTGCGTGACGCGTGCATGCGTGACGCGCCTGAGAAGAGCTTTCGCAGCAGGTAAACCTGCACACCCGACACCCACCAAACCTGCTCATCGAGTTCAGGGTTTTCCGTGCATCGAGATGATCCCGTTTTGAACGAGAGAGCTTAGAAGCTCAGGGCCCTACGCTATGCTTTTTTGCCTTGATGACCTAGGCAAAAAAAGGATAGGGATGTTATAAATTCTTTAAAAAATTCCTTTTTTAACCTGGGATTCGAATTCGCACTATCGCGCGCCCTGCATGCATCCCCCGATACACTTCGCATACATACTAATTCTTCCAAGTTGCTTCACGTTATGATCTTGCATTTGAAAGCCCTACTTAAATTATGCATTGTGGCCAGCCGTCTTTGATGGTACGGTACGGCATAGGTACGGGTCAGGTACGATCCAGGGCAACACGACACAGTCTACCGCCTTGATGACGGCAAAAAAGCATAGGGATTTTATACATTTTTCAATTCTCCTATTTCTTTTAAGGCATATCCTGGGATTCGAACCCGCACTATCGCCCTACATGCATTCCCCTATACACTTCGCATTCATACCCATTCTTCAAAGTTGCTTCACGTTACGATCTGGCGTTTGAAAGCTCTATTTGAATATTGCTGTCAGCTGTATGTTGCCAGCTGCGTTTGATGGTACGTTACGGTACGGGACAGATACGGGATAGCGCAAGGCATGTCACAAACACACAAACAAACACACAAATACCAAATTAAAGCTGTGTGGACCCTGGCTAGCGCCAGACGTTACTGAAGTAACGTCTTCTGCATAAATACGGGAATAAAATACAGTGATGAAGTTGGTTGCTCCAACGAGGAGCGCACGCTTCTTGCCGAACTTGACACTTGACTGACTCACGACTGCCATCCCGAGCACACTAGCGTGTGCTCCTCGTTGGAGCAACCAACGTCATGACTATTACCGCCGAAATTGCAACTTCTAAGTACGTAAAATACAGTGAGTTGTACAAAACGACTTCCTGATTTTTCTTGCTCTGTGCTGAAGACCGACTACTAAGTTCACGAAGCACGTCCGTTCTTCGGTCTGGGCATTCCTGCCTTTGACTCTTTGCTCATACATTTAATTTTCTTATTTGCATCTTTCGTCGTAGAACCTGACTCACATTATGCCATGTTGATGCCACGATGGTATGCTTTGAAAGAAGAATCGTTTGGACAAGAATGTTATTGTTTTTTGCTGCTCTTGACGACGATAATTACTATAGTGGTAAAGACACATCTGGCGATATGGCTTTAAATACACGTCTGCCAACATATCCTCGCCAGGCTGGATAGTTCTGGCACAGAGCTCTCCTTCTGACCCTAACCAACATCATATCGCGCTTGGTGCCTAGTCGATGCATGTTTTGAGGTATCAGACATGCCATGCTGGTATGTCAGTTAGCGCATGGCATAATAGATGACACAGCAACAGCGTAATTCGATTGGGACGTACGTTTTGACTCCTGAGAAGGAATTTGAAGACAACACGGCAGTTGTACTTATCGTCTATTAATATGGTGGTAAACACATACCTAGTCATATGGCAGTAAATACATGCCAGTCCACACCCGCTGTGGCACATAGCTCTCCTTCTTAAGAGAGACGTGTTTGATGTGTTGTTTCCCGGCGTTGTCGAGAAGGAGGATTATGTCAGCGTTCCGGCAAAGAACGCATACTCCTTTCAGATTGGACCGCCATGCCTTGTCGCGAACTTAGCCGCAGGTAAGTCGGGTCCTAAAGTGCCGTTACATATCCAGCCTGGATTGTTGAGGTGTAGAGATAACAAGGGTAAGAGAGTCGGTGGAGGATTGCTTCTTGGCGCCATTGGCAAAAAAGTGTCGCCATTTGCTCCATTCTCTGTCCTTAATACGCATCATTTATGTGCAATCAGGAGAACACACACTACTTGGGATTAGAATAGCGGGTGGCGAGAGATTGATGGATAATGAACTGTTCCATGCCTGCAGCGATGGTAATAGTAACTTTTAGGCAAGCCAACTCTGCATCGTGGGTGATACTGAAGGCCCAATGTACGGCATTGAGGTGTGCTCCGAGTCACCCTCAGCCAGGACGCTCTTAACGCCACACAGTTAGCGTATTGGTCTGTCCCCGGCTTGTTGAAATGGTCAGGAATTTATTTTATTACATTTCAGAGGTTCCAGCTCGATGCTCCAGTGTGTTAGGCCTTTCATCTCACATAATAAAACCCGAGATTTTTTAGTGACGTCAATAAACAAACACATCTTCGCGCCTTTATCCTCAGCTCCAACCTGACCCTCACTGGCCTTTTTTCTCTCGCTTTCGCTTTGTGTGGATGCCAAAAATTGTTCTCCTGGATCGAAATCCGTCTCTGGCCATGGCTACCTCCCCGTTGAACGTTGCTGATGGGCACCAATCCCCTGCTGCTACGCAGGATGTACCCGTGTTGAACATGGAAGTGGATGCGCCCCCATTGCTGGGGTTGTCATCCTTGCCGAACGACCCAATGGCTGGTCTGGCACATACGAACTCTGTTTTTCCAGATGGAATTTCTGCAAGCGCATCCCTGGAGCTGGGACTGTCGCATCTGCCGGAGGGCCCATTGGCTGGCCAGGCAACTCCCTTGGCTCGCCCACTGTTCGATCCCAAGGGCGAGGAGGCTGCCACGAAAAGGCATTTGTATAAAGTCTCTCCAGAAGTGCAGAGCTATGTAGAGCAGTATTTCCGGACAATCCAAAGTGATGCTGTAGTAAAGGAGATGACCTCCAAGGACCCACGTCCCGATACCGCAGCATGTGTTGTGCCCACGGTGGACGACGCCGTTGCGTCTTGGCTCGGGGAGAAACTCTCGAAGACCATGGATAGTGGCCTGCACAAATTACAGCAGAATTTTTTGTCAGCGTGTGGCCCACTGACCCAACTCTGGGAAGACATTATCAGCAACGGGGACAGTATGGACGTTCCCACGGATGTAGTCCTGGATGCTGTTCAGCGATCACTGGTACTGTTGGGGCATGCCAATGCCCGGATGACTGCTCATCGCCGTGCTGCCATCTTGGAGGGTGCAGGGCACAAGGCACTGGCGAAGGATGCGAAGGAGCTGCCGCTGCCGAAGGAGGGCACCTCCTTGTTTGGTGACACATTTTACAAGGAACTGGAGCAGAAAGGCGAGGTGAGGAAAACCCTCGCCAAGTCCACGTCAGCTTGGACCAACACCCGTCGTGATCGGTTGCCGACCCACCATCGCTCTTCGTCAGAGGGTTTTTCCTCCAGGCCCTGGCAAAGCCGCCCCGGGGCGTATTCCCGCGCGAGCCGACCTGCTCCATACAGGCCTCAACGGCCCGAGTGGTCCCGTCCGCCACAGCATCCCACAGGCGGTGCGAGCCGAGGACGTTCGGACTGGAAGAGGATCCCGTCCCGCAAACACAGCGCCCCGCCGCAGCAGTAGTGCGGACCGAAATGCCTGTTCCAACACCAGCGGCTTCCTCCCCCACCTTTCAGGCGGGTGGGGTAGGTCGAGCAGCGTCAGCATGGCAAGATGTCACCACCGACCCTTGGTTGATTGCTACTGTGCGGGGCTACCGGATCCCATTCCACTCCCGACCGGATCAGCACCGAGAGCCCCATCAGCCAGTGCTGTCATCTCCCGAACAACGGGCACTGTTGGAGGAGCTAAAGAAACTCGAGCAAACTGGTGCGATCGAACCGGTTGTGCCAGGCCAGGCCATGTTTGTGAGCCCATTGTTCGTGTTGCCAAAGCCGGATGGCGATTGGCGCGTCATCTTCAATCTCAAGAAGCTGAACGAATTTGTAGAGACCGACCACTTCAAGATGGAGACGCTGCGCGACCTACCCGATCTCCTGGAGCGGCATATGTACATGGCGAAGATCGACCTGAAGAGTGCCTATCATTCTGTTCCGGTCGACCCCAGGGATCGGCCGTACCTGTGTTTCCGTAATCCCCAGACGGGCCACCTTTGGCAGTTGACATGCCTTCCGTTTGGGCTGTCCGATGCCCCACGGGCATTCACGAAGGTTCTGGCACCTGTAGCTGCCCGGCTCCGCCGGTTGGGTTGTCGCTTGATGACATATCTAGACGACTGGCTGCTGGCCGCGAAATCTCCGGACCATGTCAAGCAGCTGAAAGCACAAGCGGTACACCTTCTAGAGACATTGGGCTTCGTGGTGAATCGCAAGAAATCAGTTCTGATGCCAACGATGACCGTGGCGTTCTCGGGGATGGTGATCAACACCGGCTCCATGATGATCAATTGGCCTGTGAACAAGGCCAAGAAGGTCCAACACGAGTGCCGGCGGATCCTCACCCATGGTTCCATCGCCGAACCCGAGTTACGCTGCCTGCTGGGAAAGATGGAGGCCGCCAGATTTGCCGTGAAGTCCGCTCCCCTCCATTTTCGCGGACTGCAGTACCTGCTGCTGGACCACTGGCCAATGAGTGGTGCTCCCACCAGTCACCAATACTTTCCGCTGTCACCATGGGCACAAGCCGATCTTCAATGGTGGTGCACCTCGAGCCAGATAACATTCACGAGTGCTATCCGTGTACCCCCTGTGTCGTTGACCTATGCAACAGATGCATCACTTCTGGGGTGGGGTGCAGTATGTGGCTCACACCAGTTAGGCGGCCGATGGCACCCAGACGAGTCCACACACCACATCAATTGGTTGGAACTGAGATCGGTGCAGCTGGGACTGCAAACGTTCGCATCGACGGCTCACCAGATATCCATTCGCCTGGAGGTCGACAACGTTCCGACTGTTGCATTCCTGAACCGGAAGGGCGGAACACGATCACAGCCACTATGTCAGCTCGCCCAAGAGATTTGGCAGTGGGCAATCGACAGAAACCTGGAGCTCATCGCAGTTCATGTCCCCGGGAAGGAGAATGTGGATGCGGACTTTCAGTCGCGTCACTTCCAACGCTCAACGTCGGATTGGATGTTGGACCCGGAGCTCTTCCAGGAACTGAACCGCTGTCTGGGACCATGCCAAGTCGATCTTTTTGCCGCCAGACACAACTGCCAACTGCCGACGTATTGCAGCTGGGATCGGGATCCGTGGGCGACAGGGATCGATGCGTTCTCCATGCCCCACCTATGGGAGAACGGCTATGCGTTTCCACCGTTTCGTCTCGTGGGCAGATGTCTGCAGATGGCGCGGACACAGCAGCTGCATCGTCTGGTCCTCGTTGCCCCGGCATGGCCGAATCAGCCTTGGTATCCCGTGCTTCTGTCAATGCTGGTGGACTACCCGGTACAACTGCTCAGTCCGACAGTGGTGCAGGGGCCAGACAACGAACAGCACCCGCTTCGTCACAGGCTTCAGCTGACCGCATGGGTCATCTCCGGCAGCAACTCCAAGAGCGTGGCTTTTCAGCGCACGCTGCCTGGCTGTGGTGTCAGGCATGGAGGTCTTCCACAAATCGGTCGTATGACAGTGCCTGGCGAAAGTGGCACAGCTGGTGTGGTCAACGGGCGGTTGATCCATTTCACGCGTCTCTGCCGATGATAGTAAACTTCCTGTCCGACACGTTCCAGAATGGTTATCAGTACCGCACACTCAATGTCTTCCGATCTGCCCTGTCTGCCATGCTGCCGTCGATAGCTGGCTGTCCGGTTGGTCAACAGCAGGACGTCGCGAAGGTGATGCGTGGTGCCTACAACAGCCGCCCACCACAGCCCAGATATACGTCAACTTGGAGCGTTAGTCAAGTTGTGTCGTCGATTCGGTCCTGGCGCCAGAATCCTGATCTTTCTCTCACGGAGTTGAGCCAGAAGCTGGTGCTTCTGTTGGCGCTAGCCAAAGCACCTCGCTCCCGCGAGCTCCAATTGCTGTGTTCAGGGCCGCTTCTACGGAAACCTGACGGAGTCTCGTTACCGTTGTCAGCGCCGACGAAGACCCAACATGCTGGGACATTGAAGGTTTTCTTCATTGCATCATTTGATGAATCCCAACTTTGCCCTGTGGCCTGCTTGTTGGAGTATCTCAAGCGCACTAGCACTCTCCGCAAAACATCACTATCGCAGCTGCTGCTGTCGCTCCACCAGCCTCATAACCCTGTTACGGCTGCTACAATTTCCCGCTGGTTGAAGTCTGCGCTGGGATTATGTGGAGTAGACACTGCACAGTTCTCTGGTCATTCAACTCGATCTGCCGCTACGTCTGCTGCTCGCTCTTCTGGTGTCCCCATGGAAGTTGTGCTTGCCGCCGCTGATTGGAGTGGTCCCAGCACGTTTATTTGGCATTACTACCGGCCATCTGCAATGGCCCAGTTCACCCAAGCTGTCCTGAATGCTGATTGATCGCTCAGTCCGGACCGACTGCAGTGTCTGCCTCTTCAGACCGATGTTAGGTTTTGTTCACTTTGAAGGACACACTGGAGCATCGAGCTGGAACCTCTGAAATGTAATCTGTAATTCTGCAAGAATTCTCTGAATTTGCAGTAGAATTATGGTTACATGAGGAGGTGAAAGCGAAGATGTGACAGTGTGTATTTTCGGGCTGATGGATTTTGGAAAGTCGACAGAATGAGGTTTAGTGGGGTGGCACCTCAAGCGAGCTCTCGAAAATATTTCGTTAGCTCGTGTGTGACACAAAGATCCTCAAGGCTATCCCCCAGAGAGTTTGATTTTTCGCTACCAAGCTAATATTAACAATGCACGTTGAAATCCCCCGCTAGAACTCCGTTTGGGGACAGTTCTTTGGCCTAAGGTAGTGTTTCGCCACGTGAACTGATGAGACAGAGGTTGGTGGGGCTACAGGAGTAGGTGAGGTACACAGAACCGATCACCAAACTTGCAACACATAGCCCAAAGTGTTGTATGTTCCGCGGACTGGAGTTAGTCTAGATTATCAGCAGCAAAGGAGGACTTGATCAATACATCGATACCACCTACGTGCTCGTTTAGGTCTCTGCCATATAAGAATCCTTGTCCAAGGATGTGAGATTCAAGGTTAGTTATTGCATCAGCAGAGAATACAGCTTCAATGATAATTTTTACATCTATGTCGTGCTTGATGAGTGCATACCTCAGGACGTCCAGTTGAAGGTGTCAACTGGAGCTGCCAAACAACCAAGCCCAATGGAGGAGACCAGCGTCGAAAATTACAAAGTCGTCCATCAATCATCATTAATATTTTTGTCGTGCAGTGCTAGTTGTCGGAAGTTGTAGCGTGATGCTATAATTATTAATATTAAACTTGTGGAAGCTTACACCTTTCTGTGTTAGAAGCGCTGTGTATTCCTAACATAGATCCAGGACTATGTATATAGAAGGAGGGTGTGTTCTCTTTGCAGATGCTTGGTGGCACACCTAGCTCAGGAAAGTGTGCCCAGTATTTCCTGATGTGTTGGCCATGTTTGCCTATAACTCGCAGGTTCCGTTTTTGGAGTTTTAGCACATTAATCATTTTTCAATTAGGTTAGAGTGTTTCCTTTTTTCTTTCTTTCCTTATTAAAAATTTATGTAGTTACATTTTTTCCAAATTACCAACATTCCCTGTACTATCTTGATGATTAGTGAGGGAAAACGTTGTATAGATGAAAGGAAATGCCTACTTGATAGTGTCGATTTGCGTCTCTGCATGCGAAGGTATAGATTGCGAAAATATATGGTGTGAATAGTTTTGTTCTAAAGTATGTAGTGCCACTCTCAAAACATTTGTTCCAATTTCCCCTGTCTGGTGACCACTGTCATGCCTGAAAATTCTCTTTGCACCTGATCTTGGCGCTTTTCCTGATATTTCTCTGGACATTTGTCTGTTTAGCACTCTAGTCGAGGTGCCTCCACCTTTTGTGGACATATACATGGAGTGGTTCCATTGGTTTATTGGATCATATCAATGTCTGTATAATCGCGTTTTTTTTTAAATACAAACTGTCAATTCTGCAGATAACTGGTACTTTTGCTCACAGGGCCAAGAAGCATCGGGAAGCCTCGAAACACTTTACATTCCCACACCTAAGACATACGATGATGCGTCTGCTGAGTGTGCCCGGAGAGGTAGCATTCTAGCGAATATCCAGAATAGATTTCATGGAGAGTGTGCAGGAGACCTGCTTGGACCCCGAAATGGTCAGTGCAACAGTTCTTCCAGTGAAAACTGCACGACTTCCTCGTACTTCTGCAAAACCAATACATGCAATGTGTGGGTTGCTCTTCAACGAACATCTGGATCCAAAACCTGGACATGGACGCTACCAGTTCCACTCGCTGCAAACAATGTTTCTTGGATTACTGCACCATTACAAGGAGGAGGTGGACACAACAAATGCGGGTATTACTCTCCAGAGAAGGAGACCTTCGGATTCGAATCTTGCTCAATGAAGCTAAGTTCCTATTGCCAAAGATATACACCACACGGTAGGGATCTCATAGATAATATTTTAGACATCCATCTGGCTACTCCTATACTTACCAAAATAGCCCTGCTGTATTCACCTACATATGCCGTAAAGGGGCTAATAGCCACCGTTAATTTGCAAACGAAGTGTCATACGTCCCCAGACACAACGGACAACGGAAACTGGTAGTTGGAAAGACATTTATTAAAGACGAAGAGACGGAGACCAAACAAATTACAAGGACTACATCATGGGAAAGAGAGAGAGAGAGGGGTGGAGAGAGAGAGAGAGAGAGAGAGAGAGAGAGAGAGAGAGAGAGAGAGAGAGAGATGGAGCCAGGTCGGCAAGATAATTGGCCTGGGTAGCTAGTATGGCAAATATGGGCGGAAAAGTAGCTATCCAGACCAACGCAACAAAAGATGACAAAAAATGAGACAAAACTTGAGCGCGAGGGTGAATGCTGGCCAACATTGAAACGATTGTAAGCACTGTAGTTGAAAGTCGAAAGCACATAGCCAAATCTATGTAGGCATGGGCGGTAAATGCTAGTTATCTGCCGCGATAATTCTAAAGGCATTGCTCATAATATGAGGATATAATGCCACTGAAAATGCTCACACTACTCCATAATGCCAGTTTGAAAGTTGGAAAAGTCGATTTAAGAAGGCCGTCTTAAATCAAGGCCAAAGCGTACAAGAACAAAACTTAAGCAGCAGTGAGCATATTGTCTGAAAAAAATCCACTACGAATGTTGATTTGCAACGTCAAGTCTCCAGACGAAGGCGGACGGGTTCAAATGCACGATTTTCGGAAGTGGACCTAGCCAGCTTCATGCATGACACCGTTGCCGACCGGCAATTATGCTTATAAGTCCAATTTTGCATGCAATATGGTGTTATAATGCCAGCATTATGCCACCTGGAAAAATGGACTGTATTGCCAGCCATAATGCTAGCATTACCCGCCCATGGCTAAATCCATGATCATTACCACTTCTACCATAATTATTACAAAGACCGTGATTGATGTACACTCCCGCTTTCAAAACTTTAGGCAGCCAATGACCACTTTGCGGTCAGAATGCAGGGATTTATAGCCTGTTTCGGGAGCAAGAAAATTTATAGAAAATCGAAAAAGGAAAAAGAAATAGTTGAGAACTTGTGGCAGGGGTACGTGGATGATGCTAATGGGGTTTCTCCGTCACGCGCTTCATCTGCCGGTAGGGTCTAATGGGTGTCCTGCCGTCTTGACCTCCAGTTGGAAACGGACACGATAATTTACTTTTTTATGCACGAAAGACTTGGGCAATTTGATGTTCTTAAAACCATTTCTGTGCAGAAGCACTTACTGCACGGTTGTCACTGCACGCAATGTCCACATTGGGCACTAGAAACATCGCCATTTCACTGCGCAGACGACATTGCTCTGTATGATTCAAAAGCTTCCGCTGGGGAAGTCTCCAAATCCGTCTCTTCAGCTGTCACTGATCTCGCCATATGGCTTAAGTCACGCGGCCTAATTTTAAACGCCTCCAAAAGCCAGGTAATGACTATCTCACCGCAACATGCCGGGCCTGAGGTCTCTATCGTGTGCTGCGATACCTCTCTACCGATAGTGAAGTCTGCGCGGTATCTTGGTGTCTTTCTTGACAACCGCCTGAGTTGGGATGTACACGTCAGCGCCATAGTGACCAAAGTTGCGAGGAAGATAGGCGCCTTGTGGAGAGCCCGTCGATGCCTCTCCCGCAGCTCGCGCAAGGTATATGTAAAGGCTATTGTCATGCCGGATATGATATATGGTGCCTGCAGCTTCTCTGCAGCCCTCCGCGTGACCCAACTTCAGCGTCTGCAAGCCATGCAAAACCGGGCGATCCGATGCATTGATGGCAGCCCGCCATGTTCCGCGATGCAGCCCCTCCTGGCTGCCAACTCGATTTACCGCGTCACTGAACTTTTCAAACAAAAGCTCCTGATCTTCATCTGGCGTTGTCTAAATGACTCCACTAGCCTTGCTCTAGCCCAGCTTCTCAAACCAGCAGCATGCAGCGGCAGAAGTACGCGCCATCAGCATGCCAATGGTCTGCTCAGCCAGCCAGCTCGCAGTCGGTGTGGCCAAACGAGATTCGCCACCGCAGGAGCATTGCTGTGGAACAGTTTGCCTAGAG